GGAAACAGGAAGAAATAGAAGAATAGAAGCAAAATGGAGAAAATTCAATATAACTGTCTCTTCTCTAAATAAGCTCAAAGCATCATCTCTTTGTTAAACATATATGTGCATAAGTAAGTGCAGGTAAAGTCTATATATACAGTCGTCTTAAGTACAAACATTACAATGTCATATCTTAAATTATCCTGACTTTAAAAACATCTAAATAATTCTCATCTGACTGAATCAATCAACAACATTTTGGTTGGGTACCTAGCCTGTGCCAGGAACTGTTCTTGATTATAAGGGGTCAAAGATAAGACTCGGAGGACACGACGGTAACTAGGAAAGTGCAAGGCCATGTCCTCCGGTGCTCCTGGTATCACTGCAGTATGTACAATGTACCTAAAGTAGTGCTCAGGGGAGGAGAAAGGGATGTGAAAGGAGAGATCCTGCTCACACACAGTGATGAGCTCTGAGGAAGACCTTCGTGTCCCCAGGGAACGGTAAGTAGTTTGGGGTGGCAGCCACAGAGGGTGTGCAGAAGACTGGCTGGAAGTAAGGCAGGGAGACAGGCAGGGCCAGCTCTGAAGAACCATGTGCCCGGCCAGGGAGTGCAGAAGGCCCACCATGAGTCGCTCTCAGACATTCTCCCGTGGGACAGTGGCCTGTGGTCCTGAAAGAGAGCTCCGGGGGAAGCCAGGGGACCCAGCAGAGCGAAGGAGAGGCTGAGGGCAGCCAGACGGCTGCTGGAATTGGCCAGAAAAGAGGGGAGCATCTGAGCAGAGGCAGAGGTACCAGAGAGAAGGACAGGAGAGGGTAAGTTGAAGAAATGCTGATCCAACCTCCACTTGCCTCTGCGAGGGACCAGACATGGCTGTGGGCGCGGAAGTGAAGCAGAAGAACGCACTGGCGATAACTTGGAGGTTTCTGTTGCGACGTTCTGGTAAATGACACCCTTACTAAGAGATGAACAGGAAGAGAGGTTGGAGTGAGGGAAGTCGATGAGTCTCGATGTTAGACATGTAGAATTGGAGTTTCCTATAGGGCATCCAGAAAGCGATGTCTAATAGACACACAGAGCAGAGAATCAGACTTGGGAATGGGAGAAGTGGTCAGATGCGCCAGCAACTGCAGGGAAAGTAAGTTTGGAGCTGGGTGCAGGGGTAAAGCCCATGGACTGGCAGATTAGGGGGACCCAGGGGGACACTGAGTCAGAAAGCCAAGGGAGAAGGGCCCTCCACAGAGGATGAAAAACCATCAAACGCTGCAGAGACATTAAGAGGATGAGGAGGTCACCTAATTTCACAATCATGCAGCTGCTGGTGAACTTGGTGACATTTGTTTTGGCAGAGTGGGAGGCAGAAGCAGCACATGACAACCCTTTGAGAAGTCTGGGCTCAGGGTAATTGGGGAAAGTGGTTTGGATGGTAAGGTACAAGAAAGACTCTATAGAATGAAGGCACCTTTGTTTACTAAGAATTTATTAAAAATTCTTAGGGCATACTTGCTATGTACACCAGGCACTGGACTAAACTCCTTACAAATATTAACTCATTTACTCCTTGGTATGGTTGATTTTATGTGTCAACTTGGCCAGGCCACAGTTCCCAAGATCGGTTCAAACATTTCTGGACACTGCTGTGAAAGTATTTTTAAGGTGAGATTAACATTTAAAATCAGTAGACTAGATAAAGCAGATTATTCTTTATATCGTGGGTGGGCCTCATCTAATCAGTTGACGCTTTTAAAAAAAGCATGGTTTGGCTCAGTAGTTTAGTGTCGATCCATGCACCAAGAGGTCGCTAGTTCGATTCCCAGTCAGGGCACATGTCCAGGCTGTGGGCCCAATCCCCAGTGGGGGCATGCAGGGGGCGGCCAGTCGATGTTCTCTCTCATCAATGTTTTTATCACTCCCTCTCTCTCTCTCAAATCAATAAAGGGGAAAAAAAAAAAAAGACTGAGCTCCCTCCCATAAGAAAAAAAATTTGCCAACAGACTTCCTTTGGGCTCAAACTGCAACATCAGCTGTTCTCTGAACCTCCAGCCTACTGGCCCACTCTGCAGATTTTGGACTTGCCAGCCTCCACAGCTGCATTAGCCAATTCCTTAAAATTTCTCTCCTCTCTCTCTCTCTCTCTCTCTCTCTCTCTCTCTCTCCACACACACACACACAAACACAATTTCTCTGGGGAACGCTGTCTAATACACTCTTTGTGACAACATTAGGTACTATTATCATCTCCATTTTACTTTAAGGGAAACTGGCACAGACAAGTTAAGTAACTTGGCCAGGGCCATACGGCAAGTAGCAGAGCTGGAATTCCAATCCAGTGTGCACCCCACCCTACCCCAGTCTCTGCTCTTAACCACATGCTGTGCTGCTGCTCAGAGCACTGCCCCAGGGGTGTTTGGGGCCAACCACAGGCCAATGCAGAGAGGCAGAATGCACAAGGAACAGCAATCTACAGATGCGGTCATATACAGGTGAGAAAACAGGCACATGTGATTTGCCCAAAGTGGGACTCACAGTGATACAAGCAGCAGAACCCAGGTTTTCAGGATATAAAATGCAAACTTTCCTCTTTCTCCTTCCTACTTTCTCTCCATTCTTCTTCATCCACGGCCTTCCCTCCCATCAGAATTCCCCTGCCCTGCAGAGATTCTCAGTCACACTCCCCTCATGTTCTCCCGGAGGGAGGCCCGGAAATCTTTGTGTTCTCACCACAAAGTGCGCTTCTTACCGAGCGCAGCGGAACAATCCAACAGCATCACGTTCAGTGCAACCCGTAAAACTGACGCATCCCACACAAATCATTATTTAGTCTCTCAGTAATTATTTAGAAAGTAAAACAAAACAAAACATGCCCCCCTGAAAGCCCAACAGGCATTTGATTCCAAATGTAAATTTTTTTTTTTTTTTTTTTATCCTCACCCGAGGATATTTTTCCTTTTTTTTTTGTACAGATAGAGTGGGAGGGAGAGAGAGGAAGGGAGAGAGAGAAACATCGATGTGAAGGGACACATCGAGTGGCTGCCACCCGCACGACCAACCAGGGCCGGGGACAAACTGCAACCGAAGTACGTGCCCTTAGCGGGAACTGAACCCGGGTCTCTCCCGACCGCAGGCTGACGCTCTAACCGCTGAGCCAAACTGGCCAGGGCGCCAAATGTAAATTTTTTATAAATTAACTACTCAAGGAATTAGGTGTCTTTGAAAATATATTCCTATAAAAAAAAATCTCCCAATAGTTTGAACTGGGTTATTTGAAAAGCAGCATTTTCAAGCTTGACTTTCATGGGACTGAGAACCACAGGGGTGTCGGAATCAACGTGCCAACAGAACCCTGAGCACTGGTATGTACTCCCACCTCATTATTATGAGTGTCAGCTATGAACTTCCTGAAGAAAAATTTGGAAATATGTATTAAAGCTTCAGAATCTGTACATTTTAACCCAGCAGTTCTACTTTTTCTAAAATTTTATCTAAGAAAATAATCATGACCGTGCATAAAGATTTCGCTATAAAGATATTTATTACTCTGGCCAGTTTGGCTCAGCGGTTAGACCATCAGCCCGCAGACCAGAGAGTCCTGGGTTCGGTTCCTGCTTAGGGCACGTACCTCGGTTGCTGTTTGTCCCTGGCCCTGGTTGGGTTGTGTGGGGGGCGACCAGTTGATGTGTCTCTCACATCGATGTTTCTCTCTCTTCCTCCCTCTCTCCCTCCCACTCTATCTGTAGATGAATGCAAAAATGTCCTCAGGTGAGGATTTAAAAAAAAAAAAAGATTTTATCACAGCACTGGTGAGAATAGTAATGTTTTTCCTGATTGCAGGGGATTGAGCCACCAAATTATCTCCATGTGATGGAATACTACGCATTCATTAACATTAACATTACAGAATAATAGCTAGTGCTGTGGAAAGATGTTCCTAACATATAAATAAATTTTAAGAGCACATTATAGAACAGTGTGTTGCATTTAATCTCATTTCTGTTAAATATGTATTTTGTGGAAGGCAACCTCTTAAGAGGGCCCCAACATCCCCCCATCGCGCGGTGTTCACAGCCCGCACAGTGCACCCCACACTGTTCCAGCGCTGTTCTCTGGGACCAAGAGCAGATGGAAAGAAGTGATGGCATGTCACTCTGACATTAGGTTATAAAAGACTGTGACTTCCATTTTGCCCACTTGTACTTTTTTAAAATTTGTATATATTTTTTATTTTCTCTTGGATCACTTGGAGCAAGCTGCTGTGCTGGGAGCAGCCCTATGGAGTTGCCCATGTGGGAAAGGACTGAAAACTTTGCCCAACAGTCTGTGAGAGATCAGAAGTGTGCTGCTAGCCCAGCTAAGCCTTGAGATGAATGGAGCCCTGGCTGACAGCCTGTCTGCAACCTTGCCAGAGACCCTGAGCCAGAACTATCATGTAGGTTGTGCCTGCTTCCTGACCCTCCAAACCTGTGAGATGACAGGTGTTCACTGCAGTCTAAAACTGCAGGGCTTGGGGGCCATTTGTTACAAAGCAACAGATAACTACTACATGCATACGTGCATAGTGAAATGACTGAAAGAATATAATCCAAAACACTAGTAGTGGTTCTCTCTAGGTGGTGGAATGAGTTTTTATTTTCTTTCTTTGTATAATGTTTTCCCCTTTTCAGAAAAAAAAAGAAAAGAAAACCCCACGACCAAGAGAGATCATATGACCTTCTAAAACATCAAAGCTTGAAGATTAGGAGGGCCACTTTTAGCTCTACTAACTTTCAAAGATTCTTTTCAAGTAAACTAGCTTTAATGTTTAAAAAAAATGAAAGAAAAAAGAAAAGAACTGCAAAGAACATGCCTGAACATCACAGTGGAGTGAGTGCTGCCCACTGGAAGGCACGCCTCGCACTGTGGGCAGCAGCACCCAATACCTTCATGGAGAGGAGGCTCCCACAAGCCTCCTAAAAGGAAAATCAAACAGGAATGAGGAAGTCATCTCTTAGCGGATCATCGGCACAGGTGTCTTGCTTACCCAGCTTCTGGTCAAACCGCCACGCTGCGACATAGGCATTGTGCCTCAGACTGCTCTGTGTGGCCAGGGGCACGGTGACATAAATGGGACCATCCACCAGCACCGGTGTTCCATCACTGCTGAGCAAGTGCACGCTGACAGCCGTGACTGGGCTCAGGTCGTACCTGGTGCCGTTTCCTGGAAGCAAGAGGCATTCTCCATCACATGCACACGAAGACCTACGGGGGCTGTGGAAACCATTTCTGAAAAAGTATTAACTGCTACCAATTACCGAGTTCCACGCCTCCTATTGGCCAGAGACTGCATTAAGCACTTTACACACGTAATCCCCACCTTGGCTTTCTAAGGTAGGAAAAATCCCCATCTTACACATAGAGAAACTGAGGCTCAGAGAGGGTCATAATGGGAGCCGGCCTAAGGGCACAGAATAGTGGGTGGTAGGGCTGGGATCCAAACTCAGGTTGCCCATTCTAATGACTGTACTTTGCTTTAAAAACAGTCTCCAAAGGGAAGGACTTGTCTATAATGTGATGGGGAGATGTGTGTAGAAATCCCTGAAACTGATTTCTATGCAAAGGGAGCCCCATGCACATGTTAATTATTTGGCAGATCCCCAAAATGAAACCCAAATTTTCAATTAGAAACTTCTTTTAAAAAAAAAAAGTACACTTCTTCAAGGAGGGCTTGAAAATATTAACTTACTTCTACTAAAAGTACACTATTGAAAACTTGGACTTGAAATATTTATGAGTCATTTTAGTTGCCTCTGTTATTTTGATCTGTTTAAAAGGAATTTAATATACCAATTATTCTGCATTAGAGGCCTTTTATCCAAGCCAATGCTTTAAGGACTGTCTACTTTACAGATAAATTAGACAATGCTTATCAGAGCGATATTTTATTTATACACTTAAGCAGTCCATTTTAGAAAACCTCTTCTCAAGTGAAATAGAATATCAGACAAAATGTACTCTGTCATAACTTTAAATCTTTCATTAAACACAATGACAAAAACACAATGATAAAAACATTTTAAACTACATTAGAACATAATCTATGGGATTTATTAAGCTATTTATATACTTACCTACCCATCAATTATCGGAGTGAATTCAAACCTCCAATTAGGAGCCAATTTAAACATTAAAAGCTTGTGGACGAAAAAGGGACCGCATACCAAACCTGACAAGCTCAGGGGAGGTCTACACTGCGGCCTTACAAACTCAGAGACCGAAAGTAACCCACAGGATGGTCTGAAATGAAAACTTTCTAACTAAAATTGAGTCATGGCAGGTAGTCATGTCCTTGACAAAGGCCAGTCTTTACCTTAACTGAGCCTGTCCACTATCTTCGTGCATAAAATACTATACCTTCGAAATTTTTCCAGACCCCTCAAGGCATAATCTCCCACCAGAGCAAAAGACAACAAAGCCCCCTATTGTTATCTTGCTCCCCAATATCATCTCCATGTGCTATAAATGTTAATTGTTAACTATCTTACACCCACCAGTGTAAGAGAAGTATGTCTCTTTATTTTACTCTTTATCCAATCTCAGAGATTTCCTTGCTTTGCTTTTTCCCATCCCCTTGATCTACCACCAGTGAATTTCATGTAACCGCCCCTCCTCCCTTTATGCCTCCTCCTTTGACTGTAATGTATAAAACAAACTACAAAACTGCCATTCTCTGGAGCATTTTCTCAATCTGTTGAGATTTTGCTTCCTGGCAATTGCTGTCAGTTTGGCTCAAATAAACTCATAAAAATATGGATGTTTCTTAGTGAGTTTTAGAGTTCCAACAAGTTCTAGCGAAACCCTTCATGGAGCCATTTCTGTACAGCTAATGACAGCAGTACCCTCTACAATGTTTACCCCTATCTGCTTTGCAATGTAGGGAAGGCATGGGAATGGGGATTTGATCAAAAGGTCCATATTGGAGTCACAGATTCAACTTCTGAAATCTTTGAGTCTGGCCATTTCATTTTAGGGTAAAGAAAACCAAAACCTAGAATTTACCTGATTTCTGGCTTTGGACAGAGACCCCAGCGTGCACTGCCCACAGGGAACACAGAAGCAAAGCCAGGCCTACAGTGTGTACCTCTCTACTAGGTTCTGTCAGACTCCCTCGATGAGATAGAACTTAAAACAAAGAGAAGTTAAATAACTTACTAGACGCTACATAAACAACTTAGAGATCATACTTCAGTTAGGTGGCCTTGCCCCCTTCCACCGAGGCAGGGAGTCTGAAGAGGGAAGCCCCAGGGAGTCAGAAAGCACTACAGATCGGCCTCAGCCCCCTTTCCTCCCACTGCACTCTGCCTCCTGATTCCCAGAAATGGCAACCCTGCTGTCCCCACCCATGACCTTCTGCTTCTCCCTTCCTATTATCTTGCACATTCCTGGCACAGGAAATAGAGTTCCAGTACCAACAGCTCACATGGCCTCTAGCAAGTGATTTCACTCCTCTGGGGTTTGTTTTACGTATTTGCAAAACTAAGGAGGTTGGGCTAGATGCTTTCCTGTGAGTCTATGGAAAGAAACGGACTCAGCTAGAGACATTCTGAAGTAAGCACAGCACTACAGAAAAGGGCATATTCATTTAATGCAATATGCATTAAGTTTGTGTGATTCAATGTTCTTTTAAAAGTCCTCTGAACTTATATGCATAAATGCATAACCAATGGACACAGACAATAGCGTGGTGAAGGCATGGAGTGGGTGGGTGGGGGTACGAGAAGTATTACATCTGTAATATTTCCCACAACAAAAACAAATTTAAAATAAAAAGTCCTCTGTTTGAAGACACTGCAGGCAATTCTGTTTGCTGAGGCCTCTTTTCTCAGTGCTCCACTAAATGCCTTCCAAATGACCCTCCATCTGCCCTCCCACTATCTTTATTCTGGAAAGATTCATACTTTGAAAGGCTAAATTGTTTCCCTCCAGTCCTTGTTATGAGACTGTAACTGTATAAAATACCGAATTCTGTGTATGAGGGGGTCTTTCCTTTCTGTTCCATCTTGACGTGACCTGGCTTCCGTCATTGAATAAAGAGAGGCGTCAGGCCGAAGCAGCAGGACCAGGGGGCAGCACCATGGCCCACACGCGTCACTTGTAACATGAGGTGTTTTGCTCAGATAGCATCTAAGGTACTGGCTTGCATTCCATTACCAACTTTTCTGACTGCAGAACAACTCTGCCCATTAGTCATTTTACTGACTCCCTCCGTCTTCCAGGAGTCGCTAGCAGAAGTGATTTCTAGAAAACCCCTTGGGGACGCCACAGAACAGTGCTGTGCTCTCTCAGCAACCACAGGGGAGAGTGTAATGCTGTGCAGGCGTGGTCTGTGGCCCTTTGTGACGCCAGGAAACTAAGGGCCGATGGGAGGGCATCGGCAAGAGAGAAAGTGGCCAAAATCTCCACATGGCTGCGTTTCTCCATCTACAATTCCAAAAGCTCCCTCTAAACCAGACACAGCTCCCCTTAGGACGCTCCAAGGAAGCCAACTTTGGAGCACTTTCCCACCATATCTGTGGTGTCTGTTCACCTTCACTGAAATCTAGCTACGGCCTATCAGCTCACCCAGGTACGCGTGGCCCAGGCTCTCAGTTACGCTCAAATCTCTTAGATGCGGTTTATAAAACAGGACAATGGTGGTGCAGAGGGGCAGCTTGCAGAGTGACCTGCAGACGGGCACCCCGCTGATGAGCTGTGGTGGAGCCCCAGGGAGTGCGAGCTCCCACAGCCTCACTGGCAAACACACTGCAGGGCAGCTGCCTTTCCTGGCAGCACTGAAGGATGCTTCCAACATCCACCGATCAGTTGTTTCAGTGGAAAAGAGGCTGAATGTAAGTAACCTTCCAAAGACCTCGCTTCCTCTGAAGCAACAGTGATTTTTAAATAAAACAAACTCCCCCCAAATCAATAGTCTTGAGTCTTTGTGTTTTTCTTCCCCCATCATCTTGGATTTCATAATTTATCCAAGAGAGATCATTTCTCCAAGTTGGGGTTGAATGATTGTGCACTGCTTTGTCAGGGAGACCGGGTGGAGATCGCACGATGGTCTCAGATTACACTTGATTATATTCTCCGGAACACGAGCTTTCTCCCAGGGCTATACATTTAAAGTAAAAGTTAACACTTTTCCTCAATAATGTTTACTTAAGATGACTACCATGCATCTGTCCGATTACTGACTAGTAATTGCATCAGCATCACATAAAAATTAAAGGAAGAAACATTTCCGAAAACAAGTTCGGCAGAGGGAAGAAAAGCAAATGACAAATCACCAGGCCACCTTGATCGGTAACCAGTAATTTATTAATATCTACAAAAACGGATCAGTCGTTGCAGGCTTAGAAGCTTGTCCAGAATGATCAGGTATGCAATCATTCTGATGGGATTGATAGTCAATGAAAGTGTCCCTGGGAAATGTAGTAACTTACTCACCCAGCAGGATTTAACCCAGAACAGCCTCTGGTTTTTGAGTTTATGTTGTGACTAAACTAAATTGTCCAGGAAAAGAAAAGGGGGAGACAACAAAACAAGTCAGGACTTCAGAATCCGCCACTCCCCCGACACCAGAAGGACTGGGGACCATGTTAGCAGGGAGCACCTGATGTGCTGTTGACCGTGAGCAGGGGTGGAAGGCACATGTCTCTAGTCTTTACTAACAAGGGTTTATTACAAATTTTCTGGCTAGTGGTGTTTACTTTCTCTGATCTTTTGGGGGTGGAGAGCACTGGTTAGCTCATCTTGGATCAGCCCGGTGCCCCCTTCCCTCCCAGCTGTGCCTCTCTACAAGGCCCAGCTGCTCGCCAAACACAGGGCCAAGGGGCAAGTGGGCTGAGGGGCAGAAAACCTCAGACTCTGGTCTTATACTTTTTAACAAAAATACAATTTAAAAAAAATTAAATTAAAATTGTTTCTATCACCATTTATCCGCACCCCGCAATAAAAATACAATTTCAATTACAAAAACTTCTCTGAATTAAATATATTCATTCCACCAAAGGTGAGCTCAGAGAACGTACTTCAGGCAGTTGGTTCGAGCAGACAGGTTCAAGGAAATGGGCCGAAAACGCAGCTGTGCAGCGGTGCAGACTGAATTCCCAAAGCAGCAGTTTCAATACACTTGAACTTGGGGAGAGAGCTCCCTCCCCTTCCGCAACTTCAGTTCTCCCCTTTAGTGTGAACACTTCAAGCCACACACAAAGATTCAAACACAGAAGCCTGGTTGCAAAAAGAAGAGACTCAAATTACCTGTTCCGTTTCCATCTAATCCTCTCAAGTATGGAAAGCTGTCCACCTCGGAAGGGGAGCCGGCGGCAGTGAGGAAGGCCGTCAGGTCACTGTAGCTGGTGTTCTCTGGCAACCGCAGAGCTCGCCTCTGGAAGTGAATGCGGGGCTGTGGCCGGGCACCTGCAGGAATTAACCTTCCAGTTACATCCCCAAGGAGCAGTTTCTGTTTTTAGAAAATGCAAAAAGGAAGAAGTGCTTCTCTAAGGTTTCAGCAGGGCTTTCCCTGCTCCTAGCCCTCCCCACATCTCCTCCCATCCCCCATTCATGCAGGACACTGAGATGTGACAACACGCTATTATGGGGATAGAAATAATAACCCATTGTCACATTTGTTTCGACACAGGATGCTATTTAGAGTTTTTAACAAAAAGCTTTCCAAGTGCTATTTGTGAGCAGTCTTTTCACCACACAGCATTTGCCTGTGGATGGGGTAACATCTCAGGAAACAAAGTCCATGTAAGTGAAACAAGTAGATGACAATCTCTTTACAAAAACAAAGCAAGGAATACCCTTTGACATAGGTGCAAATGGGTAAAATCTGGTTGAGCTCCACAGACCCAATCGAAGCAGAGCCAGGGAACTGAATGTGCAGCCTGGACAAGAAATGCAAAAAAAGAGCCCAACAGTAATGAACCCTTTTCCTTCTGTGGAAGCTGCACCTTGGCATCCAGCCTCGCTGGTGGTGTGCACCCTCCTTGTGACAGAGCATGTTGCAGATTTTACAAAGAGGTCCTTGGAATAATGTGAAGTGATGCTCTTTTCACCAAACCCAGCTCTTCTGTGCAGAAGGACGGTCGCGGGTTGAGACGACAGACCAGACAGCTACCTTGTGACATCATCCATGGTTGGACTTCGCTCTAGATGTTTCCATTGTAAAACCTGAACCTGTTTTTACCTAGTGCTGTGGCTTGAAGGATCAACTAGCCTACGTCTCTCTTCCTACAGATGAGGCCATGGAAGCCCAATGCACTGACCACTCACACAGACCATGTACAACAGAGGTGGTCACAATGCTCCCCAAACTCCTAAAGATCACTGATTAGATGTCTCAGATGGCTGGTTCTCCACTCCATAAGATAGACCCAGCTTTAGGGCCCAAGGGGCTGGGTGCCCAAAGTCCTACCTAACTCTATCACCAATGAAATGAGGGGCGCATTTGCCAGTCCAGATCATCGGTGCACTTTCTTCAACCCTAAAACAAGCCCTTGGTCACGTACAAGCAGCCTTGCGTTACGTTTACTTGAATCTCTTCGGAGTCTGATTTCCTCTGACTTCACAGAATACTGCTGTCACGTCCTCGGTCTGCACCGAGTATCAAGGATTCATGCTTCGCACGGCTAGGAGCTGTCTGCTTCTCCTAAGCCCATCCCTCCGCTCCCACACGTGCTGTCTGCCTCCTCGGTCCTCCTCCCTGCTGCCCTCGGAGATGCAAAGTCAGAGTCAACCCTCCCTTTTTCATCTTCTCACCCCCAACCACCTAACAGTCATTGCTCCCCATATTTTTTTTCCATGATGGTGAAGTTTTTGAGACTTCGTTTCCCCTTCTCCACTGTTCCTGTCTAAAAGTGTTGCTGAAGCCTGGGCTTCACACAGCGGAGAGACAAAGGACTGACTAAGGTAAAGAGTGACGTGTTTCAAGTGTGACAGGACAATGAGGGGCTTGTCCTTGTGAGGGGTAAGGCAGAACACAGAGTCCAGGCTGGCTACCCCAGAAGAGGGCGGGACACGGGCGCCCTGCCAGGCCTAGACTGGCCCCTGTGCGATGGGCGGGTTGAGAGCTTCGTGAAGTCCCCTTGCTGGAAGGAACAGAAATCTCCTTACACTAACTAGACCAGAGAAAAGGGGTCACACTGAACCCAAGGATAACACCCCATCCCGGCCTTACGGGCATGGTCTAGGACCCGGAAACCACTGCTCCCCAGCTCTCAGGGGCCCCTGGGATCTCGTCCCAGCTCTGTGCCTGCCTGTCTCTCTCTCTCATACCTTCTCTTATTCTCTAACATGTCATGGATTTTAATGGGAGCTGTATCTCTCCCCTCCCCACACCTGTTCCCTCTCCCTGCCTGCTGCCTTCCTTCCCTTTTTGCTCAGGAGAAGTTGGTCCTGGGCCAGACATCTGGGTCTGTCTGCTGTGGCTGGGGGTGAGAGCACAGAGGGGCCATGCCAGGGCAGGTGACTGTAAGGGGATGTGGCTGGCCCAGCAGATTTGACACATGCTGTGACCAGCAAGACCTGGATACTTGTCTGCACCCACAGAGCACAGGCAAGACCTCTGCCTGGTGAAATGACCAAGGAAACATTTGAGGGTTGAGGCTTTTCTAAGCTGTGGTGTAAACAAAATTTAAAGATGATATGTGTCTTATGTCCTTAAGCCCATCTTCATGTATTAGAGCCGCTAAATTCCCCACCTTTCAGGAAGGGGTGTGCCTGGGTTGGGGTGGGAGGTGGAGAGTGGGCAGGACGTCTGTCAGTCTCCTCCGGAGGCCTCTCTCCCACATTCCGCACAGTGGCTGCTTCAAACTTCCTCTGTTCTCCAACTCAGGGCTCCAACCACCAGTCCCCAAGTGCTCAGACCCTCATCTACTGAAGATACTGAGGCCACCACGTCTACTCTCTGCACTTTAAAGTCTTTCTTCCTTCTCTCTGTCCTGCTTTCTTCCAAGTATCCTAACTTTTGCTTGTTTTATTGCAAGACTTGGCTCAACCATTTTTATTTTTGCCTTTTTATAATCCACTCTACAGGCTTTTCCTCCCTAACCAACAAATACACCCATTTCTTCTGCATCTAAAAAAAACAACAATAAAACATGACTTTAACTGCTATTCTCATAAGGAAATGCCTTCTCTCCTTCCGTCCAACCCTCAGTGATACGGCTTCCACCCCCAACACCCACGCCCCTGGCAATGCACTGATGGCTGTAGTCTGCAAACCCTATGACCACCTCTCAGCTTTCACCCTCGCTGCCCTCTTCACAATGGTCCACACTGCTCGCCGCCCCCGCCCAGGAACCCTCCGTCTTGGCATTCATGGTCCTGAACTCTGGTCTCTCCAGACTCAGCCTGCCTTCTCTTCTGCAGGTTCTGTTTCCCTCCTCCTACCTCCAATGAAGCAGTTCCTGCCACAGTTGCCTCTGCTGTTTCTGGGCTCTGTCCGTACCGACTCCCCTCCAGTGTCATGACCTCAGCCGTTCCTGTCCTCTCTGCCAAGCTGCGTGTCTGCATTTCCTCTGCCTTCCAGACACTGCAAGCTGGATACCCATCGAGCACTCTGAAATCATCATCTAGCCCTGGCTGGTTTGGCTCAGCAGTTAGAGCCTTGGTCTGCAGACCAAAGAGTCGTGGGTTCAATTCCAGTCAAAGGCATGTACCTGGGTTTTGGTTCAGTCTCCGGCCCTGGTCAGGGTTGTGAGGGAAGCAACCAGTCGATGTGTCTGTTTCACATCGATGTCTCTGTCTCCCTCTTCCTCTCTCTCTCTCCCTGTCCCACTCTGTTTGAAGATAAATGGAAAAAAATGTCCTCAGGTGAGGATTAAAAAAATAAATAAAATATTAAAACCGTCATCTACCTTCTCTTCCACCTCACACCACCCCATTTCCTCCCACCCCAGGTTTGACCCCAGGCTGTTACTATCACTTTCCCTCTCTGTTATTCTGCACACTGACTCAGGTGTCAAGATGGGTCAATCTTCCCTTAGCAACATTTCTAGCATCATCTTTTCTTCCCTTTCTGCCTCCACCCCACAATACCCTACATTACCCCTTGACTAAACTGGCCCCTTGCTTCAGACTTACCCCTTTTCATCTTCTCATACACTGACTTTTCTAAAATGCCGCTCTGATTACATCCTTCCCCTGCCCAGACACCTTCAGCGGGTCTGCACCACTCATCGACCGCGCGGCAATCAGAGACCAATTAGACCCAAACCTCTGCTCCCCCTGTCCCGAAAGCGAGAGCTGCAGTTCAGCGCTTTACATATCATTTGATGTGAGAAAAACTGAGGTTCAAGGAGGTTAAGTGACTTGCCCAAAGTTATTCTGTTTGTAAGAGCAGAAATGAATTCTTTTCATTCTAACTTCTGTATCCCGTCCTAAGAAACCACGCTGATCAGAAGAGAGGCCCCGCTTACTGGCAGTCGGCTCTCCGGCTCGGACAAGTGGGCCTGCACCGCTGCCTGCTTCGGAACCTGTGCCCATGCGCTTCTCCGCGTCTGAAGCTTCTTCCCACCTGTTTGCATATCCTGCACCTCATCCAAGAGGCATCTTAAATGCTCCCTTTTCTGTGTAGCCTTTCTTGATCCCACCCCAAGCTCTAAACTCTACTTGTATCTCTCTTACAGCACTGACTTTTCTGTGCCTTGTATTATGTTTATGTGCATATCTGCAAATCTCTCTGATCAGAGGCGCCATGAGAAGAGAACATAGTGGCGGAATCACTAGCTCTGTGTTTTGGTCTTTCTTTTGCCACCTTCTAGTTGAATGACTTTGGCCTTCAGGTTCTTTATCTTTATCATCACAACATGACTATTATGTGCTAGGTCAGCAAACATATGCGTGATGTCTAACGGTGCCTTCTGGTACATAACAGGTGCAGGATAAGCCATAACTTCCTATCTCTTCTCCACTTTTAGACTGAAGCTTCTCAATAGCAGGTACCCTGTGAAACCCACCACACTGTGTCCTGTATAGAGCTGGTACTCAACCAAGTTTACAGAACTGAATGTAAAGCTGACTTATACTGAGCAATTCACTATGTCCTAAAAGTGGTCTGTCTCAACTCTGACTAGGTCAGGGTTCCTCAATCTCAGCCCTATGAACATTTCGGACCAGGAAGTTCTTTATTGGGTGACAAGGGCCAACCTGTACATTTCAACATGTCCATCAGCAGAGCTGGCCTCTACCCATGTAATGCTGGTAGCAGCTCCCAAGTTAAGACAACCCAAAACATCACCAGACACTGCAAATGTCCCTGAGGACAAAACTGCTCCCGGCTCTCAACCACTGGGCAAGATACTGTGAGCGCCCTCACACTGATCCAAGTGGCACATATCAAGGTCTCCTCTGCAGCGGGCACAGGATGTGAAGAGGGAAGGACAAAGGCCCTGCTGCCTGGAACTCAAGAGTGAAGAAGACAGCCATGGAAACAGCTTAATTATCACAGTGTTTTCAATGCTAAAGTAAGAGGTCTCAAAAGTGCAGGAATAACTTCAAGAGAGCCACCCACTGTCCAGCAGAAAAGGAGTTCCGTAGGTGCTGCCTATGAATGGTACCCAAGACTGTGTGGGACAGCCAGTGGACGGCACCTCTCGAGGCAGGGCTGTGTGCCGGGAAGGCTGGGGACTTCTGTGCAAGCCAAGGGCAAGCGGCGCTGGCCGGGGCAGAGGACGAGGCTCCTGAAGGGCCTGCATGTCGCTGAAGAGTGCGGATGTGATGTGGCGGCCCTGTGTGTTTTTTTCCTTTATTGATTTTTTTTTTTTTTTTTTTTTTTGACAGAGAGGAAGAGAGAGGGAGAGAGATAGAAACATCGATGAGAACGAACATCGACTGGCCGCCTCCTACATGCCCCTCTTTGGGGATCAGGCCCACAACCTGGGTATGTGCCCTGACTGGGAATCAAACTGGCGACCTCTTGGTGCATGGTCAATGCTCAACCACTGAGTCACACCAGCCAGTCCGCCCTGTGGGTTCTAAGATGAAGATGATGCACTCCTTGCACTGCAGGTTGACATTTTAGTCGGGGAGGTGAGATATACTCCCAAAGGTGGCAGAAAGGGAAGTATGGTAATAAGATTGAGGGTTGGGAGAGAACCCGCTGGAGGGTTGTTTGAATCTACCCCTCTGGTTATTGATAAGGACATGAGGGACAGTAAGGGAGGGAGGGATGTGTGGGATCCAAGGAGGGGAGCCAGAGGGAGGAAGGACAGCAGCACCGGTCTGGCTCAGAGCAGCTCTGGGAAGACAGGCAGTTTGCGAGTTTCGCCTGAATGCCGCGACAGTGACCCGGTTCCAGGAATGCCCAGCCTGCCTCCCCCACCTGCTGCTCACTGGCTCCCTTTCCTTCCTCATACTTTCTATTCCTTTCTCATCTGGGCTCGTGGGTGGCCTGGCCTGGTCCCGGGCCCACTGCACCTCAGGACCTTCCAGCTGAGCGTTTCACCTCTTCTGAGTTCTTAGCTCAGTCCTGGTAAGAGAAAGAAGAGCTGCTGGCTCCAGCTTTTCTCTCCCAGCTGGTCCCAGCCCTGGCCCCACGACGGGTGGGTATAAGCCCCTTGGCAGCCAATGCTGAAGGGCAAGGCACCAGCATGACTCACATCTCCAGGGAGGACCTCCTAAACGAGATAAACGGGTGAGCATAGCTTGTCTGTATCAGAGATGTTAATTACAACTATTAGCCTCTTGCTACCGTTTCAGAGGAGCCAGCAAGAGACAAATCCTGTCTTAGTGAAGAACATGAGAAGGAAGTGTAAACATTCCCTCATTTCAAGAAAACCATTGTCTCTCTCTGCATCCCCCCAAATTCACTGCAGGATTATTTACAATAGCCAACACATGAAAACAACTTGAGTGTCCTTCAGTGGATGAGTGGATAAAGAATATGTGGTGTATACAAACAATGGAATATTCCTGAGTCATAAAAAGAAGGAAATCCTGCTATCTGTGACAACATGGACGGACCTTGAAGGCATTATGCTAAATAAAATAATGCAGACAGAGAGAGACAAATATTGTATGATGTCTGCCCTGGCCAGTTTGGTTCAGCGGTTAGTGTCGGCCTATGGACCAAAAAGTCGACGGTTCAATTCCCGGTCCAGTGCATACCTGGGTTGTGGGTTTGGTCCCTGGCTCCTGTCAGGGTTGTGTGGGAGGCAACCAACAGATGTGTCTCTCTCACATTGATGTTTCTCTCTCTCTCTTTCAACCTCTTTCCCTCCCTTCTACTCTCTCTGGAAAAAAAAAAATGTATGATGTCACTTATATGCAGAAATCTAAAAAAAACAAAACGCAGAGATACAGAGAACAGACTGGTGGTTGCCAGAGGCAGGGGGTGATAGTTGGACAAAATGGATGAAGGTGGTCAAAAGGTACAAACTACCAGTTATAAAATAAGTAAGTCCCAGGGATGTAATGTACAGCATGGTGACTATAGTTAATAACACTGTATTGTACATATGACAGTGGCTAAGAGAATAGATCTTAAACATTGTCATCGTAGAGAAAAGACATTAGTAACTATGTATGGTGACGGGTGTTAATTAGACTTACTGTGGTGATCATGTCACAACATATACATGTATTAAATCATTATACTGTACACTTGAAGCTAATACAAGGTTATAAGTCAATTATATCGTAATAAAAGTGGAAAAAGAAAAATCATTACTTTTTTAGCTGTGAAACAATAGTAGCAGAGCCAATCAAAGAAAACTGGAGGTACCACGGCAGGGGCCTGGGCCACAGTGCAGTTCTAATGTGAACGGAAGCTGAGGACTCTAGGTCCACTCTCTTGGGGGGAGAAAAAGATGGTAACTCATGGCTTTCACTGTTTTATCTCCCAAACTCCAGTTACACAGGCTGCTGGATGCATCTCTGCAAACCCCCCTTCTAAGAGCAAGGGCTATATGCTGACCTCGTGGCATGTTCTCACAGCCACTCCATGAAAAAGGAATGAATGAGGGCAGCTCACAGCACATGGCACAGGAACGTGCTTAGGTGAGGAATTATTAGTGTAAAGTGGTATGAAAACACAGAAGTAATGTAAATAAAAAACTAATCTGGTGAAGCATTAAAATCCAGGAAATAGCATGCTCAAGGCCCATGATTTGGGTGGAACCTCATCACAGAAATATGTTTGACACAAGCGTTATTCCCAGTCCCAACCCCAACACCAACAAAGGGAAAATCCCTCAAACTTTCTGTATGGGTCAGAGGTTAGAAGGGGTGATGTTATGTTTGTATACATTGCTGCACGTAACATGAATCAAACTAGAGAGGGAAAAGCCACACTCAAAGCTCATTAACTTTTTTCCTTTTTTTTTTGTTGGGGGGTTATCATGGTAAAAAACCTAGAACATTAAACTTACCACCTTAACTATTTATAGTTCAATCGTGTTAAGCGTATTTATATTGTTGTGCACCGGATCTCTAGAATCTTCTCATCCTGCAAAACTGAAACTCTATATGCTCAAACGCTTAAAATCCTTTTAAGAGTGACCCTGTCCACCGGTCAATGAGGGTCCTGGCTCTGACCTCACGAGGTGAAAATTCTTTCCCTTAGAGAGGAGAGGTGTGGTCTGGACAGAGTGCTGGACCCCTTCTTTTCCCTCAACACTTAGCAGCTGGGCCTACAAGAAACAAGATCATAGCCAACAAACAGCTTAACCAAAATTCAAATGTGTTGTGCACTGATAGGGACAACAGGTGGTGTGTCCCAGCTTTGGATAAATTCACCGCCATCACTACCTGACAATAAGCCATCCCTCACATTTTAGTAGTCAGCCCAAAAGTTACTGTCAGTTCTCTTGTTAAATAGTCAACATACCTTGGAATCCTGAGACTATTTGGACAACATCTTCATAAACCATTAGCGTGGCAGACCGTTCCGGAAGCAGGCCAAGGCTCAGGGAAGAGAACACTGCAGAAACAAAATGGATGTAAGGGAATTCTGACATTTAAATGAAAATGCCCACTCTAATTTTTGTATTCTCTGATTTCAAATCAATCAGCAATACTGATTTTTTTGTACTGTGACATAAATATATTTTTGGTCTCTGCCTTTGGTTCCTGCCATCGAGCTCTTAAATGCCTTGTAATTTCCTGAGTGATGGGGGTGATAGGAGCATCTTTTGTTTCAATGAGATGACTCAGGGTGGGCTCCTGGATTGGGGCTAGTAGCCAGAAAGATCAAGCCATGGTTAGAAGCCTGGAACTTTCAGCCCCACTCCCCATCCTCTGGGAAAAGGAGAGGGGCTGGAGACTGACTTAATGATTGATCACACATGATGAAGCCTCCATGAAAATCCCAAAAGTATGGGGTTTGGGAGCTCCTGGGCTGATGAATACATTTACATGCCAGGACGAAGATGCACCCCAACTTCACAGGGAGAGAAGCTCCTGTGCTCAGAACCCTTTCAGATCTCACCCCACATCCTTCTTCGTCTGTTTCCCCTGTATTCTTCACTATATCCTTTATAATAAACTGGCAAAGGTAAGTTAAACGTTTCCCGAGTTCTGTGATCCATTATAGGAAATTATGAAACCTGAGGGGGTATCATGGAAAACCCTGATTTTAGCCGGTCAGTAAGAAGTACAGGAGGGAACCTGGGACTTATGTCTGAAGTGGGGCAGGCTCGCGGGACTTCACCCCAAACCTGTGAGGTGTGCACTAACTCCGGGTAGTAAATGTCAGAACTGAAGCGAATTGTAGGACATCCCGACGGTGTCCAGAGAGTTGGGGAATTGATTGGTTTGAGGAAAACAACCCATTCATTTGGTGTCAGAAGTGTGAGAGAAAGGAAACAGTTTTCCTTTAAGTGTGATTAGCAAGCCTTTCACCATGTCACAGGAGTACAATCGCTCCTATAACCACGCTTTACCCTACAATCGTCAACTACTGCTAATTCACTAAAAGCTTTCAGTAAAGCATCTGAACCTCTTCACAGAGGGACACATAAAAAGTTACAATGTGCACACTACCCAAATGTAAATGATATAACATTAGATATTAACATTAAGAAAGCCTTCACAAATATGTGCTTAGGCTCGTGTGTGCCCCACAGTAAAAGAATATCCTCCTATTCTGGGAATTAATAATATGACAGAACTTGTGCTATTTTATTTTTTGATCACCTGTTATTTTTATCACTATTGTTGAAAGTATTACAGATGTCCCCCCCTTTTTCCTCATTGACCCCCTCCTCCTCACTCCCACCCCACTCTGCTTTCCCCACACTATTGTCTGTGCCCACTGGTTATACATATATGCATATAAGTTCTTTGGTTTATCTCTCTGCCCCCCTCCAGCCCCCTTCCCTCTGAGGTTTGTCAGTCTGTTCCCTACTTCCATGTCTCTGGATCTATTTTGATTGTCAGCTTATTTTAGAACTTGTGCTATTTTAAAACTAAGTATCTCCTGACTTCTAACGAAAAGATTCACAAAGCCTACGAGTTTCTGGGTAAACATTAATTTAAGAGGAAACAAATGAGTGTATTATGCAATTACAATAATCACTAACATTACTGAACCCTTCCTACCACGTCAGGTATTATTCTAAATGCTTTAATTTTGGTAAGTTATTTAAATCTCCAAACACCTCTATGCAATAGGTGTTATTAACATACCCATTTGACAAGTAAGGAAACAGGTTTATAGATAAGGAATCAACTTGTCCAAGATCCTGCAGCTGGTAAATACTGGGGCTGGGATTTGAACTCTGAAGTCTGTTCTCAACCACCCTGCTCCAAGAACTCATATTTGAAGTCCAAGTCTCTAAGATTAAAGAGGAGGAAAGAGAGGCCATGAGAAAGCTAAGATGACACCATGTGCTCTGAAAAACAGCCTAGTAGTTCCTCAAAAATATTAAACACAGAGTTACCATGTGAGCCAGCAATTCCACTCCTAGGTATATACTCAAGGGAACTGAGAATGTATGTCCCCACAAAAACCTGTACATAAATGCCCACAGCAGCATTAGCCATAACAACCCAGAAGTGGAAAAAACCCAACACCCATAAACAGATGAAAAGAAAAACAAAATGTGGTCTATCCACATACGGAATATTGTTTATTCATAAAAAGAAATAAAGTACTGGTTCAGACTACAATAAGAATGGACCTTGAAAACATTATTCGAAGTGAATGAAGCCAGACACCAAAGACCACATATTATAGGATTCCATTTATCCGCAATGTCCACAGTGATGGAGGATTAGCGGTCGCCAGGACTGGAGGAAGTGAGAAATAGCAAGCCGATGCTAATGGGTATGGGTATTTTTGAGAGTGAAGAAATATTCTGGTATCAGACAGTGGTGATGGTTTATAATCTTGTGAACTGCACACTTCAAAATGGTGAAGTTTATGGTATATGAATTATATTACAAATACAAAATAAAAAAAAGAATCCTGGATAAAAGGTGAAGAAATTAGCCAAAAAAATTAATGCACAGCCATAGACACAGACAGCAGTGCGGTCAAGGGCAGGGTGGGGGTGGGGGGATGGTAATGGGGGCAGGCAAAGGAGGGCAAATTGGGAGACATCTGTAATAGTCTAAACAGTAAAAAAAGGATCCACCTCAGGGCTTCAAAGTTGGAAGAAAAATCCACACTGGGTTGGGAGAGGGAGGATCAGATAATGCCTGTGAGCCAGGGCTAATGGGAGGAACCCTAACTGGAACAGATCTCAAAAAACCACTTCAAAGTTAAGTTTAACCTTCCTTAACAATGACCCTTCACCCAGTGGGGCAGTGGACCTACTGGCCACAGAGAAAGGGCCAGATGGTTCTGCCTGGAGGAAACCACGGACCTCACAGTTCTCCAGGCGCCTGGGCCCTGCCTGCTCCTTCTGAGTCCAGAGCTCCGTGCCAACCGGGGCAGGGACTCTGCTGAGCTTGGAAACCACCTGTGATCAGTCTCTCAGAGGTGTGTGACCAGCACGGGGGGGTTTAAAACATTCTAATCTAAACATGTGGTACTTCCATACAGGAGGCATGTGCTCTAGTGAACTGTTTCTCAAACCTTATTTTGCATAGGAGAAAAAATGACTTCTCGTCATGAGTGTGCTTGTGGTGGCAGAGGCACCAGCAGGAGCTTCCTGAAACAGGAGGGAAGGGACTGGGGACCCCAAATGGACCGAGTGCCCCAGTGCAAGAAAGGAGGTGGAGAGGTGCCCAGATCTGCGGGTAGTTGGTATTTTACCCACCACAGAGGAGATGCTGACTGACGTCTGGAGGTTCTGGTCACACTAAGTAGATGTGGGTAATTTTTTTTTTTTTTATTTTTTTTATTTTTTTGTTACAGATGTTTCTCCTTTTTTACCTCACTGGCACCCCCCTCCCCACCCCACCCTGACCCCGTCCCCGGCTTAGTTGTCCATGTCCATTGGTCATGCATACATGCATATAAATTCTGTGGTTTATCTCTTCCCACCCCCCCACCCCCTCTTCTGAGGGATGTCAGTCTGTGCCCTACTTCCATGTTTCTGGGTCTACCGTATTCCTTAGATTGTTATGTTCATTATATTCTGTATGTAAGTGAGATCATGTGGTATTTGTCTTTTTCTGCTTGGCTTCTTTCACTTAGGATAATACTTTCCAGGTCCCTCCATGTCGTCTCAAAGGATAAGAGATCTTTCTTTCTTACAGCTGCATAGTACTCCATTGTGTATATGTACCACTGCTTTCTTATCCATTCGTCTACTGATGGACACTTGGGCTGTTTCCAGATCTTAGCTATTGTAAATAGTGCTGCTATGAACATGGGGGTACATATATTCATTCTGATTGGTGTTTCAGGCTTCTTAGGGAATATTCCTAGAAGCAGGATCACTGGGTCAAATGGAAGTTCAATTTTTACTTTTTTGAGGTAGCACCATAGTGTTTTCCATAGTGGCTGCACCAGTCTGCATTCCCACCAGCAGTGTACCAGAGTCTCCTTTTCTTGACACCCTTGCTAACACTTGTTGTTTGATGATTTGTTGATGGCGGCCATTCTGACAGGTGTGAGGTGATACCTCATTGTTGTGGTAATTTTTGATAAGCAGAGAGAAAGTAACATCTACCTCTACCTGGGAGAGGCAGGGAGACTTCATGCAGCAGTAAAAAGCCACACCTTGTCAAGAGAACAATCGTAGACAAACACAGATTCCTGCAGAGAATAACAAACTGATCAGGGTGACTGGACCATGACATTGTAAGGGAGATGCGGCAGGGGAGGAGGGCCCGTGTGTTGTAGTTAGTGTGAATGTTATCCTGAGGACAGCAGAGGACTTCAGGCAGATGTGTAACACTACACACACACACACACACACACACACACTAATGCTCAGTAAAATAGAGGGTGGTTTGAAGAGGCCGACTGAGCTAGCCAGAGGCCTCTGCAATAGGCCTGGGCCACTGCAGAAGGTCCACTGGACAATAAATATGGAGATGAAAATAATTAAGATGTGCAATTATAGCCCTTAGTGGATGGGTTACATTTTATATAGCTAAATTTGTTTTACTGTTTGCCAAGGTGGGTCCCCTCTCCCCAATCTATACCTCCTTCCTTGAAAGAGAAAAAAAAAAAAATCCTTCAGGGACTAGTCAAGGGTGAAAACAGAAATTCATTCCAAACTTTTTAAAGTATGCTTATTCAAACAAAACCATGTGTGCACATGGTAAGAAAGATTTTTTTTTTTAGTTTCAAATTTTTAACAGATAGGGGTGGGTAAAAGTAGGTTTACAGTTGTGAGTACACAAAACAGAGTTCATTCTTGTATTACTTATTAATTAATTATTGTATTATTTCTTCTTCTTTTTGCTATCATTTAATATTATTACTTATAATTTATCTGTTAGGTAATGATGGCTGGTGATTTCATCTACTTTTGCCCACCCCTGTATTTTAGAAGAGGCTCCCAACTTTTCTCTGTTCCTTGCCCATTGTCTGCAATAACAGAAGCGCTAGTGTGGGCCTCCAAAATGACGCATGGCAACAATAAATAGTCTGCTCTGCTTTTCACAACAGACCAGTCTACATTTTGGCCACGTTTTCTGTTAGGGTCTAGTTTAGAGGATCTTTCCTGTGTTGACAAGGCAACCAGAGAAAAATAATCAAGGACATGGGAAGGTCCTTGGAAATCATTCAGTCTTATTAATTTAGGTTAGAAATGAGAAATGCAGGCTCAGAAAGCCATGACAGGCCCACATGTGTGGAGTCAGCTGGGGGCGGCAGGCGAGAACCCAGGTGTCCTCATGCCTAGTCCCAAACTCTTTGAGTTACACTACACTGTTCCCATTATTTGACTCATTTAAGAAAATGGACATTAGAGGAATGACTTCTTTCTCTCAAAATATCATGTTAACCAAGTCAAATGAATACAATTACAGTTGATGCTCATCATTTGTGGATTCTGTATCAGTGAATGTGCCAACTCACTAACATTTATTTGTAATCTCCAAATCAATACTCAGGATGCATTCTATGCGCACGTACAGAGGGGTTCAAGATCTAGGTGCTCAAACACGGCGACACGCTGCTTTCTTGTTTTAGCTCTATGCTGACAGTGTCCTTTTTTGTGATCTATTGAGGGCCACATTTTTTTGCCATCTTGTGCTTTTTATTGGCGACTTCACTGTTCAAAACAGCCCCAGAGTGTAGTGCTGAGGAACTGTCTAGGGTTCCTAAGGGCAGGAAGACCGTGATGGGCCTTACGAAGAAAACACACATTAGACCAGCTTTGCTCCGGTATCAGTTGCAGTGCTTGATGTACTGGTCAGTTGATGGAAACGCTGTGATAAGAGGCGCACGGGCCCCTGACCCTGCATTTCCCCCAGGAGCAGTGCTCACTTCGCAGAATCTCCCTAATGAGAATGAGGAGAACAGACTGCGCTTTGTGCTGCTGCTCTCCCAGCAGAGGACGAGTGTGGCGTCCGGATACTGTTTCAGTTTCTCTGGGTAGTTTCCACTCTGGAAAGTGGGGGAGGTCCCACATTTTCTTTAGATATAACCTACCACAGCTCCCCTTTCCTTCTTTGTTGGCCTTGTCAGGGTTCTGTCCCAGGGCCACTCCTTGCCACTCTTCAGGTGCGCTTAGGCTTTTGATTCTCACCACAAGACTGCAAAGAACCCCAAACTATACCTCTACCTCCAAACCCCTTGAGCTCCAAACTCATTTCAAACTAAAGGCTGGACACATCTGGCATTGCAGGGATGGCTCCAGTCCAACCTTCACGGAGCTAAGTTCAACATCAACTACGACCCCTGCACGTATCCTTTCCTCCCTTCTCCTCCACCTGCTCTCCAGTGGCACCTCCATCTACCTTGCCTGCACCCCAAGCTTGGAAAGAGGGGTGCACACAGGAAGGACGAAGGGGACTTCTTTTTTTTTTTTTTAGCCTCACCCGAGGACATTTTTCCATTTTTTGTTCAGATAGAGTGGGAGGGAGAGGGAGAGAGAGAGAGAAACATCAACATGAAAGGGACACATCAAGTGGCTGCCACCCGCATGACCCAACCAGGGTCGGGGACAAACCGCTACCGAGGTACATGCCCTTAGCGGGAACCAAACCCGAGTCTCTGTGGACCGCAAGCCAATGCTCTAACCGCTGGGCCAGAGTGGCCAGGGCGGAAGGGGACTTCTTTTAACTTACAGCACCAATTCAGTCAACTTTGGGGAACCACACAGTGTGGCAAGTCTCCCAACCCCATCACCCGTCTGTTCCATCTGCTCTGTCACCAGCCAGAAACCCAAGTCAACTTACAACATTTATTCTAATCCGTCCTCTTGCTTACCTCTCCCCCATCCATTCCTCAAGGCTTTCTGGATTTTGACTGCTAAATATTTCTCAGATTTATCCCTTCCCCCTTTTTTTGGTTAATCCTCACTGGAGGATATTTTTTTCATGCTTTTTAGAGAGAGTGGAAGGAGGGAGGGAGACAGAGAGAGAGGGAGAAACATTGATGCAAGAGAGACACATGGACTGGTTGCCTCCTGCACATGCCCCAACCAGGGAGGGGAGCTGTCAAACCCGAAGCTCAGGTACATGTCCCTGACTGGGAATCAAATCTGAGACCCTTTGGTGCACCACCTGATGCTCTAACCACTGAACCACACCGGCTAGGGGTATCTCCTTTTTTTCTAAAATTTCCCTAAATGACCTCCTCAGTTGTATCTGTATCACTTTCCATTGCTCACAAAAGAGTGGTCTAAACCTTTAGTGAAAAGTTTTATCCATAAGTAGGGGAGGGGTTGCTTGTTAAAAAGCAAATTCCTGGGTTAACCTCCCCAACTGAATGATTGAGTCCTGTGTTTTTACAAGTACCTGCTGGTGCTAATAGCTATACATCCTCAAGACTCAGCTCCCCTCTGACCCCTCCTGGAAGACTTCATTCCCTCACCCAGGCTGATTAACAGTCTCCCTAGCACCCCTATGTACATATACATACAAATCTGTCAACATTTACCTCCTTAGGTGGAAATGGCTTCTGTGGCTGACTTCACAACTGAATTATAAACTTCCTAGGGGCAAGTTCTGTGTTTCTCTCTCTCTCTTCTCAATGCCCAGGGCAGTGCCTGGCCCTTAGTAGATACTTAATGATGTAATGATGTAAGATACTAATGATGTACTAAGATGAACTACAGAGAACTTTGTGAATAAGGGTAAACACCAGAGCTTTAAAAGCCAGGAAAAGCCACACTTTGCTCCCGTGGCCCCAGAGGCAGCAAGGACCTCGAAGGACTGTGCCCAGTGTTCTGGGCACGGAGATGAGCACTGACATGGGTGTCTGCCAGATGCTGTGCTAGGTGTCGTGTATTTACGGAACACCTCCTCAGTTTCAGGCACTGTACGCTAGCATATGTATGTTCAGTACTTTTTAATCAGAATGACTCTGTGAGGTGGCATTAGCTCCACTTTTCCAGAGATTGGCATGGAAGCTAGAGGGGCTCAAGCACAGACTTGGAGCCAGCACCCAGGTCAGTTGGTGTCCAAAAGCTACGCTCCCCGGTAGCATCTCTACCAGCCATCAGCCCATCCTTGTTGCTCACCTAATGGTGCAAACATATGACGTGGTCCATGCACTAGATGGAGCCTTAGGTGAGGGGACAGGAGAGAACTAACTGCTGTTCCCCAGCTGCCCCATCCCAAGCTGAATCAGTGTTAGGTACCATTGGCACCCTCTGTGATGGAGGGACTGCTATGAAGTGGTGAATGGTAGAGTGATACTGTGATTTAAAATAAGAAATCATGTATTTGATCTTGGTCTCCATTCTGAGCAGAGAGCTCCTAAAACCCTTGGAATTTCCTAAGTGATGAGAGCTATAAAGATGTCTTTTGTTATTCATAATAAGCCCCTTTCAACCAAGCTGGAGTTTATGTTAATATAGTGATTTTCAGAAAGCCCCTAAATAACTTGGGGATGGGAGCTGGTTGCCAGGGAAACTGACCACATAGGAGAGGTTGGAACTCTCAGCCCCACCCCCTGACCTCCCGGGAAAGTAGAGGGGCGGGAGGTTGAGTCAATCACCTACAGCCAAAGATTTTATCAATCATGTCCAAGTACTAAGGCCTCCATAAACATCAAAAAGGACAGGCTTGGAGAGCTTCTGGGGAACGTGTGGAGGAACTGGGAGGGCTGCACACCTGGAGAGCATAAAAGTTCTATTCTCCTGCCCACACACCTTGCCCAGTGCCTCTCTTCAAGAGCACTGTTTCTTTAGTAGCCTTCATAATAAACCAGTAATCCAATAAGTAAACTGTTTCCCTGAGTTCTGTGAGTCATTTAGCGAATTAGTCAACCTCCAAGGAAAAGGCAGTGGGAACCTGTGATCTACAGCCAGTCAGTCATAAGCACAGGTGACAACCTGAACGTTTGATTGGCATCTGAACTGGTGTGTGTGGGAGGGGCAGTCTCTCTGGGTAGATAGTGTCAGAACTGAGTTCAATTGTAGGACACCCACCTGGTATCTGAGAACCTGAGAAGTGCTTGATGTGTGGAAAGAAACCCACATGTTTGGGATCAGAAATGCCCGAAGTGGAGGACTGAGAGACCGGAAGCACACAGAAGTCCTTCCCTTAGCAGGGAAGAAGGGGAAGAGAAAGACCATCTCCCCATGACGCCCCTCATCTTTGGCCCAGGAAGCAGAGCGAGGAAGCCCCATTCAGAGTACTCCCCTGCACCCGGCTAGCTGTACTCGTAAGGTACAGAATGGACCGCTGCAGCAGTGAGCAGACTCAAAGGCTCTGACTCCAGCAAACGTATTAAAAAGGTGGAGCCCAACCACCTTCATACCTGATCCCACTTTTCTTCCCATAAAGAGCCCCAGAAGGTAAAGCAGAGACTAAGCAATTATTTTCCTGACCGTCTGACTTCCACTTTCAAACTCATTTCTGTGCCTGACCTGTCACTAGCATGACCATGAGCTGTTTGAGAGAAAGGCTGCGAGCACCTTACCGGGTAACCGGATTGGCTTCCACGGGGCAGAGTTTGGCACATAGGCGTGCTTCGAGGCAGTGACGATCAGCTGACTGCCCAGCTTATACTGGAACCTGATGAAGGCGACGCCATCTGTCCCGGAGGTGCCAGAGGCAAGGGAGACCTGGTTGGTGAAAATCTCAATGAGCGCATCCGGGACAGGCTGATGGGTGCTGGCGTCACTGATGTGGACCTTCAGTGTAACCTCTGGAAGAGAAAAAGCAACACAGAACAGCGGCTGTTAACTGTCACTTCAACAGCGATTCTTCCTTCCAAGCTATAGGAGGTGGAAAGCGTGATATGGTAAGAAAATCGAGATCTATATCCAAAATACGAATCATTTTAACTGGGGAAATTTTTCTTCTTAGAGAAATTTTTACTTTACATGGTTTCCTATTTTGTTCAAAACCACTGACCTTCACAAACTTTCTCTTCACTCCTTCCTGCTCACACCAACTAATAACTGAGATAAAAATTCTATCCCTTTAGGACATTGTGCAGCAAACACAATACTCTTCCATCCTTCCCAGCATCGCCTGCCAACGTGGCCTGAGCAGGCTCAAGCTGCTGCAGGAGGCCTCCAAAGTCTGCAGCCATCTTTCCCAAGGCCCCAGGGAACACGGATAGGAGCGAACCAGGATCCCTGTGCTGGGAGTCATGAAGACCAGACCCAAATGTAATTCAAAATATCATTAAAAGGGAGAACCAAGAGAGGGAGGAAAGAAGGTTTGAAGGAAATAGAGAAGTACATATTTGTAAAGATAAAGTTGAATCAGTAATATTGGCAAGAAAAAAATGACGAATGTGCGAAATAGACAGATCCAAGTTAATGTTAACATATTAAAATGCAAGGGATCATTTTCACTTGGTCATGCAAGAGATATTTACTGAGCTGCTACTCTATGCCTTGAATTGTGAGTAACTGTGCAAACTACAGCGGTGAAGAAAAGTGAGTACACAGCCCAGTGCTGTGTCTGGGGGACATCTGTGCAGGCACGAAGGGGGTGCGATGGAACCACATTGGCAGACTCAGAGGCAAGGAAAAGCCACGCTTCCTGGGAAACAGAAACAGGTCCTGAAAGCTGGACGAAGAATGCGAGGGGTTGAAGGCTCAGGGGGCGATGAGGTACAGAGGCAAGCAGGGGCCAGACCACTCAGGGCTTTAGAAGCAATCTAAAAAGATCCTTCTTTATCCCAAGGGCAATGGAAAGTGTCAAGCAAAGAAGTGGAAATCAAACTTACGTTGAAGAAACATCTGGCTCTAGGTGAAGGACAGATGAGGGGAGAGCGAGACTGAAGACTGAGCTTCCTGTGAAGAGGCCTCTGTAATAACCCAGGGAGGACCTCAGTGGACCAGACTCCAGGAGCACGACGGACAGACCTCAGTCAAAGGACTACACTCCAGAAGAGCCAGAGCATACCCCACTCCAGCACATTTGTTTTCTTAGGTGCTTGGTACCCAAAGCTCTTCCACCACCGGGGCCACCACACGGAGAAGAATTTCTTTTGCTTCGAGAACCTCTGCCTTGGTAACTTGCCAACTATCTTATGATACTGAAGCAACCTTTTCAATACTATGAATTTCAGCTAGTAAGTCATTCCCCCCCCCCCTTTTTTTAATTCCTTACCCGAGGATATTTTTCCACTTATCAGATAGAGTGGGAGGGAGGGAGAGAGAGACAGAGAGAAACATCGACATGATAGAGCCACATCGACCGGCTCCCTCCTGCGCAACCCAACCAGGGCCCCTGGGGATGAACTGCAACCAAGGCACGTGCCCTTGACTGGTACCGAACCCGTGACTCATTGATCTGCGGGCTGATACTCTAACTGCTGAGCCAAACCAGCCAGGGCTTCTCACCCCTTTATTCACATAGTGACTTAATACATTTCTGGGCAGATGATCCTAAAAAAACAGCTAAAGAACCCTAGACCTAGGGACCATAGATCTATAGCAAATAAATGACTCAAAACCTCACAGAGGAAAAACTGTGCTACAGAAACTGAACTTGGCTACTTCATATGATAGAAAGAGAAAACTAATGTAGAAAAAGTGACAAAATCAACATCATGAAAATCAAGGATATAATATCACAGAATCTACTTAGTCAATTCCTTCCAATCTTATCACGGTCATCTTAATGCAGAGTTGCAGGATGTACCCCACAGGTGTGTTCTTATTTAACTCAGTCTTTCTTGTCCCCAGGTGGTATTCAAAGTTATAACATAAATTAACTCAGCTCTCATTAATATTCACACAGCAGAAGTCCTCTACCACAGGGAGAGTGGGAAGGGGGCTTTGTAGGGCACTGATGATTTATGCAATTTTATGATAATGCAACATTTACTAACAATTTCTGCTCTCCAGTGTTTGCTGGGAAGTCAAAAGCAGCTGAGATTTGGAAAAAGCTAAAGGATTCCTGAATAAACCCAGAAAGAAAAAGTTCTACTGAAATCAATGTCCTCGAGCCTCCAATTGAATTTTTTTTAATACAGGAAGCCTAGTTCATGTTCTGCAACTGTACCTTTTGAAATGTGGAAGGTAGTTAGACAGACAGGAGCAGAGCAAGGACAGTAGGCCAGGTACAGGTCACCAGGGCAGAAAGCTCCAGGTGCCTAGCAATGGAGAAAACTGGGAAAACAAGGACCTCACCCCCAGGGTGACCTTTCCTTGCCTAGCATATTGCTGGTCATACGGTTTAGACCCCGACCTTTTGTATCGTTGGTCATACGGTTGGAACTCCCCCCTGACCTTTCCTCCTCTGGCATGTCACTAGTCATGTGGTGTAGACCCCCTTAGAGGGGGAACAAGGGACCAAAGAGTGGCCTCATGTGACTCCCATGTGGGCCCTTACTCGATCACTCCCTTAAGCATAACCCTTAGGGATAACATCTAGGACTCAGCTGTGTTTCAGCTCCAGGCCCAGAAAAGCAGCAAAACCAGACAAGCAATGCCATGGCTGCATGGCTGACCTCAGGACCAGCTGCACTGACTGATGACTCCTTGCCCTCGGATTGACCAGTCAGTGGAGATCATGGCCCTGAAAAAGCCATACCTGGAAAACTAACGAATATTCTTTTTTTTTTTTTTTTTTTTAAATCCTCACCCGAGGACCTTTTTTTTTTTCATTTATCTTCAGATAGAGCAGGAGGGAGAGAAGGAAGGAGAGAGTGAGAAAAACATCGACATAAGAGAGACACATCGAGTGGCTGCCACCCACACGACCCCAACTGGGGCCGAGAACAAACTGCAACCAAGGTACGTGCCCTTAGCGGGAACCAAACCCGGGGCCTCTCTGGTCTGCGGGCTGACACTCTAACCGCTGAGCCAAGCTGGCCAGGGTCTGATGAATATTCTATCGAGATCCTCCCCTGGTGCCTTCCCTAAAATCTCTACTCCTAAAAACCCTCAGGACGAGGACTTAGAGTGCTCGCCCTCCTGGGAGCACACCTGTAGCTTTCCTCTCCTCCTCCTCTTCCCCCTAGGCACTTTACCTTTACCTTTCTCTCCTTCTCCTAAGCTCCAAGTACCCTTCTTTTGCCTCTGTAACGCGTTTCCTGAACCCATTTTTTCCACCGCTCACTTCTTCTACCTTTGTGACTTTCCAAATAAACGTTTGCTTCTAGTTAGACTTAAAATTAGACACTGAATTCTTAGTCAGAATTCAAGTACTGAGGTCTGGTCTGGTTCCACCTTAAGACCTGGTGTGGTTTTCACCGCCGCCAACAGAAAGAGATGACTGAGCTACTTCCTTTGGAGTGACAGCAGATGAAAACTGTCAGTATAGCCCTGGCCGGTTTGGCTCAGCGGTTAGAGCATCCGCCTGCGGTCCAGAGAGACCCGGGTTTGGTTCCCGCTAAGGGCATGTACCTCGGTTGCAGTTTGTCCCCAGCCCTGGTTGGTCGTGCGGGTGGCAGCCACTCGATGTGTCCCTTTCGCATCGATGTTTCTCTCTCTCTCCCTCCCACTCTATCTGTACAAAAAATGGAAAAATGTCCTCGGGTGAGGATTAAAAATAAATAAGTAAGTAAGTAAGTAAGTAAGTAAATAAATAAATAAATAAATAAAACTGTCAGTATAACTAGAAATTACTGCAGACCACTGGGTATGATTTTTTAGTTTTGCCATTTGCTTTATTCATAGGACAATATATCATGAACAGTCCTCCAGGTCAATACTGCTGGATCTAGTTCATTTTTTAAAAATAGGTTTTATTGCCCTGGCTGGTTTGGCTCAATGGTAGAGTGCCCACAGACCAAAGAGTCTTGGGTTCGATTCCAGCCAAGGGCATGTATCTTGGTTGAGGTTCATCCCTGGCCCTGGGTGGGGTCATGTGGGAGGCAACCAATCGATGTGTCCCTCTCACATTGATGTTTCTCTCTCTCTCTCCCTCCCACTCTATCTGAAGATAAATGGAAAAATATCCTCAGGTGAGGATTAAAAAAAAAAAGGTTTTATTTTCTGGAGCAGTTTTGGTTCACAGCAATACTGAGTGGAAGTTATAGTAATCTCCCACTGGGGTATCGTTTTTCTGGAGTCACACTTTAAAATAGATGATCCATTCAACAACAAAATTATTCATACCATAAGACTAATCTCATGACTAGGTGAGTAATTCACTATTTACTAACACTACTCTGGTTTTGCAGATGAAAGGGAGACCCTCTGAGTGGTCCCGGGCCTAAGTATGCATGAAGATGCCCTATGTCCCTCTGTTGGCCAGTGAGAGCTTAGGGTCCTGCTGAGCTGGGGCACCTGCTTACATAATTGTAGCTGGAACATCATTCTTTTACTCCTTACCCTGCACATCCATCATGAAGTTCTGCTGATTTTAATTCCAAAACATGTCTCGGAGTAGGCCTCTCCTTCCCATCACTGTTAACATCCATGTCATCGATCACCCAGACTGCCACTCAGCCTCTTCACACAAACTTCCACTGTCCTCAGACCTGACCCTTAAAATCTCACTCAGGCCAGAGGGAGCTATCTGAAATATTGATCTGACCACTTCCCGTCCTGCTTCAAACCCTTTGTGCCCCAACAGATGTGACCGAGGGCCAGATGTGGCCACATGAGATAAGAATAGTTTTTATACTTCAATATGAATTGTCTGGAATTCAAATTCTATTTGTCTATAAAGTTTTATTGAAACACACCCATCCCTAGTCATTTGCACACTGTGAGGTTGTTTTCACATTGCAGTGGT